TTCCACCTTGTGACAGTGAACGACGTGCAGTTCAACAAGACCACACAACTTCAACCAACCAACTAATTTACGTCCAGCATTTCACCTCCACGCCCATTTAATTTCACCGACTCTACAGCTGTGGATGAAAAATGGTACAACGAATTTACAGCCAGACACCCGGAAGTATTCCGCAACCCCAATATCCTCACCTATTATGGCGCTTATGGATTCTGCACACGACACAATGAAAAACTCACCATTGTCCCCCCTTCAAAACTCATAACGGTGCCAGGTAACCTACGTTTACTTCCTCCACGCCCTCCCAAAAGGGGCCTCCTGTCATACACGTACCAACTTTGTTCTTGTTCTCACTCCCCCCGCTATCTCCCGCGTCTTAAAACCGCGTCATACCACGTATCAAGATCACGCCGAACCACCCATCCAACCTGAGGAAACTCCTCCAATCCCCCCACTCTACCCGAACATACCCTTCCCCACCACTTCCATCCACTCCCTCACGTCCTGTGCCGGCTACCAGTAGGCCAGCCCCACCCCAAAATTCAACCCCAGGCTCTCCATCAATGCAATCTCATCCAGCTGATCCGCCTCAACAATAAAAATACTTATAATTTCTTCGTGCCATCCGTTGCCATACGCCGCCACGCCGACATATGCCAATCACACTTTCTTTAACAACCAACGACAACGGATTCTTTTTCTCTTACATAGATCCAACCCACCTCCTCACCCCACTTCTCCACCTCACCCATCTTCACCTCAAACAAATTTTTTATGTATTCGCCACAACAGTGAAACCCCCACGCTCCAACAAGTTTTGTCACGCCACTTCAACCGTTGACATTGCGTGGTTCGACGAATTTTGCAATAGACACCCAGAAATTATCTCCCACCCTTCAGTCCTCACCCACCAAGGCGCTTTCGACACCTGCAGCAGACACAATCAATCTTTGCTTACCCTCCCCTCCTCAGCCCAAAATACTGGTGAGGCACATGGGTCACCAGTTATCACCCCCACGACCGCCCCTTCCTCAAATCTACCCCCGAATTTGAAGACACGTCCCGGAATTCTATCTTATTCCGCCTCTCGTCGTCACTCCACACGTCCCATCAGATATCGACCACGCCATAGACTCTTACACACTTCCGGCCTGGCGCAACAATGTTCCAATCCTCCAAAGACCACGCCCCCTTCAATTTACAACGGATATTTCTTTTCTTTACACCGTAGACCTCCTCACTTCCAACCCCGTCGAACACCCCGGAGTCACCCCGAATTTCAAAAATTTGACTACCAACCCCATCGAACACCCCGGAGTCACCCCGAATTTCCAAAAAAACTTGACAACCAACCCCGTAGAACACCCCGGAATCACCCCGAATTTCAAAAATTTGACTACCAACCCCGTCGAACACCCCGGAGTCACCCCGAATTTCCAAAAAAACTTGACAACCAACCCCGTAGAACACCCCGGAATCACCCCGAATTTCAAAAATTTGACTACCAACCCCGTCGAACACCCCGGAGTCACCCCGAATTTCCAAAAAAACTTGACAACCAACCCCGTAGAACACCCCGGAATCACCCCGAATTTCAAAAATTTGACTACCAACCCCGTCGAACACTCCATAGTAACCCCTACTTGAATACCCACTCCCTCGAACATTCCGGACTCACCATGAAGTTCTAAAAAACTTGACTCCTAGCACCGCCGAACCTTCCTGCGCACCTCCGGATTCACCTCGACGCCCCCTGCACATAGTGGAAAACGTCCCAACCCGATTCGGTCCCCAAACATGCATACCATCCTACCTCAAGTCGGCGCGCTCCCATATTCATTCCGGAGATATGATGAACTCCTATACTGATCTCGGACACTACTCAACACATACACATGTTGGTCTACCCTTTATGCGATGTCATTTCACACAAATAATAATTACAAACATCGGAATTATTTTCGTAATAATCAATCGATCATTTATTTTCGCCAATTTGGTTTTCAACAAAAACATAGTTCCCTCCCCAAAATTTAAAAAAAAGGCGAAAGAGACTCAAAACTTCGAAATTCAAACTATTTTAGACTTCCACTTGGATGCTGAATACACCCCATCATGTGACAACGCCCTCTCTCACAGCGGCGACCTCCTTGACATGATTGAAGGTGTTTCCTCCACCTGTCCCGTGAGCAAAAATGATGCCCACAGAGACACAGCGGGCAATGAGGACCCTGCATCAACAAAATCCAGTTAACCTTCAAGATATCAAACCCCATTTCTACCTAAGAAACAATTTTTTCGCGTTAACAGATTTCATTTTCAATAAATTGCCATTTACGTAGCCTTAATAATCTTACTTATTGGTTAATTCGCTCTGTTACTTTAAGTCTATTTTAGTCTACCTAGGAAAATTTTAATAATTTCTCTATCAATTTTTAACCGACATAGAATTTTGACATTCTCCTTACCTGGGATTGAGAAGTTTCCAAATTAACACAAACAATGTGATGCACACCCTTGAAGTAGGTACACTGACGCAAATCTTGGATTTTTTCGCTTCATAAGTCGGGCCGACTCTTCATAACATGAGAGCTGTGAAGAGGTGATCTTTGCCAAATCCTTATTGAAAAACTGGTTCTTTAGATCTGCAACTCTCACTATCTCCTTTTCGTAGTTGTGTTAGTGATCAATGATCACTATGTCAAAAAGGCAACTCTTATAATTCTTACAACTCTTACCACCCAATAACCGGTTAGACATATAAGTAGACTAAATAGGTATACGTATGGTATATAAGTAAGAACAAGAGTGACCATCGACAGCGAGTCGACTGCCTGTATCTTGATACGTGCAATAAAACCTGTCCTGACTTTGTCTCACCAAATCTCACCTTGCCTCCAAGACGCAATTTATTTCCATGTACAACAACGACGACGATCGTCTCATCTGCCTCACCACCACCATCAATGCAGTGAACCCCCCCCCCCCATAAACGGAACTTCACAATGGGACCACTTACCCACAGATTATCGGGCTACGTCAGAAGGAAACTTCAATGCGAGTTCGGATATCTCACGGGAAAAAGATGATGCAGTTTATATGTCACTACAAAGAAACCTCACCTCCAGACCTAATAGGAGTCAAATTTTATGTTCATGTAATGACAAATACATAGGAGAAACAAGCCGACCCCTCATCAAACGCGTGAAAGAACACCTAAATGATATCAAAAAGAAAAATATCAAATCAGCGTTGGCACTACACATCTTAGAAAATCCAAGTCATCGGATAACAGACGACTCAGCAAGTCTTATAGTACCAGAAAGTCTGCACATAAGAAATACTCCCGAAGCCATAAACCTAGACAATGGCATGAACCTCAATCCATCTGGTTATCATTAATGCTACCCCTTATTTAAACTCCATGACTACATCGTAGTGTAACACATATCATTTTAATTTGAGAAGAGCACTGTTTTTCTTAGGTGAAGGAAAAGTAACCATAAAGTGATCATGTTAAAAGATCACCATGGTTACGGCGAAGCCTAGGTATGCATTCAGCTGCAACTTTGAGAAACTCCCACTGAGATTTCTCCCCAACCGTTCGTTGTACGGAAAACATGTTGAAACAAAATAGTTAGAGAATTCGGTTTTACAGTGACATTTTTCTTATTTTTCCAAAATTCCAATTCCTTCAGGTGGAAAGTCCGATGCCTAAATTTTCAAATCTATTTCTTGGCACCAAGGAAATGTTTCCGACCGGGGGCTTGCCATTTTTACTATTCTCCTGGATAATACGCACATTTTAAGCCTTTGTTCGACTTAATCGGATGAAAACTCAAGGAATTAGAGCGTTTTGAAATATTGTCATTAAGCAACCTATTTACGTGGTGTTAGGTTACTGGTTGCTAACGTATGCTAATAATGTCAGGTTTATTTTTTATTAGCATTACTATTTCAACATATGTAACATTCCTTAAAATTCTGAAAAATTAAGCATTGATCAAATTCCATGAAATACAATGTAACTATTGGTCATTATGGAATAAATGATCGCAGGATATTTTCGCGCGAAAATCACGTGCCCACTTGATTACATTGGGAGCGGGGTGAAATTCAATTTAAACCTGCGATCAGTTATTCCTTACTGCCCAATAATCCACCCACTCGGGATTAAATTAGTATGCCACGCATCCACCCATAGGAAAGTTCAGAACGTTTAAGAATTGATATTATGATTTTATACATTGAAGTTCACACTTCACTAAAAATAATTAAATAAATACATTTAAAAAAACAAACTTAGGTGAAGGACGCGCTTAAAATATTAAAACAAGAAGCATTACAAAATGTTACAATATCGTTTAATATTTAGTAACTTTTCTTCACCGTGGGCCCAACTAACAGAAAAAAATACTTTCAGGCATTTTGTGTAAACGAAATACGTAATTTTTATGTAATAAACTTGCTAGATTTGAATTATTATCTTTCAATAAATAGTGACTTTGCACATTTGGTATAGAGAAAATTTGCCCACATTCTGACTCATTTTAATAACTATTCCTGAAACAGGTAGACTTATCGTTTTAATTGGTTAAACAAGTCGCTCTTTTAGTTGCATTTAGTGTATATTTTACTTATCGCTGTGAAAATGAAATAGGTAGTTGGGCCCACGGTGAAGTGAAAGTTACTAAATATTAAACGATATTGTAACATTTTGTAATGCTTCTTGTTTTAATATTTTAAGCGCGTCCTTCACCTAAGTTTGTTTTTTTAAATGTATTTATTTCGATTTCCAAAAAAAAATTGTAAAAAATCCTGATTTTCTGATGATGCATCGAAAGCTCGAATAAATTGCTTTTACAAACCACACCCATGTATTCCGACGAAGCTTCCTCAAAACTTGATGTTCTTTCATGAGAAGCCATTAAGTTTCACCGTGCCGGATTTCATCTTTTTAAATAAATTTCTAAAAATGAGACATATTGGAGGTATTTATTACATAAACAACGCACTTGTTATTTATTAATTAAACTGTTTCCGTTCTCAATCATGAAGACATGTACAGATTTAAAAATTTTGAAATTTCTTAGTAAGATTTATCACTGGTACATCATACTTACATTAACGTAAAGTTATATATTTATAGTAAAGTGAGGAAAGGCACCAATTACAGAGAATTCATATACAATACTGTTAAATAAATCGTATCCTTCATTTCATCTTGAGCGTTAAATATGTAAATATGTATTTATGTGTGACCATCAAACCTTAGTTAGAGTAAAATTGCCTAAAAATTCATATATATTGAATGTAATAACATTTCAAAAGTGATTTTACTCATAGTTCGTAAAATTGTACACCTACATATAAATCCAATCGCGCAAATTTAACGTGTTAAACTTTGAGCTCATCAAAATTACAAGAATAACCACTTTCTCTCAAACTCGTCGCGTTATGTGGAAGCGTGGAGAAATTGGTAGTATTATTTCCACACGTTCTCGGAGGGGGTGGAGGTTTCGGGAGGTTAGAAATGCCCCCATTGTTACTTCTCGGCAAGGTTGCAAACCCAGGAGCCGCACCCATCTGATACATTCCGTGCTGACATGGGTGACCAGCCTGACTGGGCGATAAGAGAATTCCCCTCTGCGCCAATGCCTCCATGTGTTGCTGCTGCTGCTGTGAAGTTGGTTGCTGTTGACCACCCAGGGATCTTTGTGGGGGTGAACCAAACCCGTTGTCCCGTCCGCCAGGTCCACCAGTGGGGGACGAGACACCTCCGTAACCATGATGTAGAGACGTGCACGTGGTGGAATTCGACTTTAGCAGTTCGGGTGGTTCCCCATAAATTTTACTGCTGCTGCAGTTTTGATGATGATGCGAATCAGAGGTAGACGTCGAGGTGGACTTTGCCATTTCACTGCTCCTCTTGTCCCTCTGGTAGTAAATTATGGTGAATATGAAAACGTTCAGGATGAGAAGGGAGCATCCTGCGGGACAAAGAGTAAGTATTAAGGTACAAGTGAACCTTTTTTCAAGCTACATACGCCGGGGTATCTAACGAGTTAGATCAAAAAATCAAGCCAAAAATTAAGAATCACATGGAAATTATCATTCCATCGAATGGTCCTTTAGAAGAAAAATATTGATGGCAAAGTTCAGTTTTTAGTAAATTTTCTCCACTAGGCGAAGACTAAGGCGCTCATTGGTACTTTGACCCCCAATATTTTTCTTCAAAGGGACCATTCAATGGAATGCTAAGCGCCATGTGATTCCTAATTTTTGGCTTAATTTTTTGATATAACTCGTTAGACAATCCCAGTGTAACTTGACAAAGGTTTCATCGTTAAACAAATTATTTATCCATAAACTCTGCTCCTCACCGATAGCAATCGTTACAGAAAGCGCGGTAGAGTACGGCGCAAAGAAGGATGACGACTCCGGAACCCCGGTAAAGTTAAATCCTTCCACACCCCCCATCGATGGGGATGAAGACGATGACGACGACGCTGGCAGGGACGAGAAGCACGGCGTCGGTGGTGAGGATGGGTGTGCGGGCAAGTTGAGCGAATTTTCCTCTTGACCAGACTCCATCCCGTCAAGATAACCGCTTCCCCGATACCCCAACATATCCAGAATGGAGGGCGTCTGCAGTAAGAGTGGGTCATCGCCGTCCAGGGGATATCTCAGCCTGCAAGAGAGTTTTGATTTTATTTATCCCCTACATATTGCATCCAATTATCACAACGAAACCCCACAGAATACCGTTAGGTATAGCGTGTAGACTTTTAGTTATGTGTTATTATTGGGCCTTTCTTCTCCAAGAAGAATAAAGAATCTCCATCCACAGAGAATTGTTTCCATTATTTCTTTTCATCATGGCGTCATATCCAACCCAATTAAATTAACTCGGCAACACAACAAGGATCTGTCTGCACTGATGTTCTGGCATGGCATGGGTTGGTAGTTGTAATGATATCAAAATGTAAGAGATCGACCCTGCCTACCCCCGAGGGGATTTCATTTCCCAATTCTTCTCTCTCCACTAACCAAGTAACCAACCAAACCTTGTTCTTCGCTGGGAAAGAATGTACATATTTTTCATATTCTTCTTCTTCGTCTGTAGCGAAAACAAACTTTTTTTCCTCTTTTTTTCGTAGTTTATATCCATCCATCCAGGAGTATGTAGCTACACATCATACAAAATTACTAAACAAAAGCTGCTTTCACTTTATTTCGTTTTATTTTAAGCACAGCTCAGGTCTACAAATTTTTTCTCTTCTCGTCACAAATATTGATTCAAGAAGAACAACTTTTCCTTGATCCAATTAGTTTCTACGTACGTACGTATAGGACGACTTTCACCTAACATATCTTTTATCCGCTGTATACACAACTTTTTGTCAGACTTTATTACTCCGCACAGATTCGAGTTACATAATAAATACGAAATTGTTGCAGAAATAATACTAGTTTTTTTTTCTTCGTTACTGTTACTCACTTGCCCACGTAGAGTGACGGGTCGTTGCCACCTTTGATCCTGTTGTGAAGCCCGGACGCGAATTGTGCCCCGCTTCGTTGAAGTTCGGGAATCAATCTAACATTTAAAATGATAGTTTTTAGTTTGATTAATTTCAGGAAAAAATGTGTTACCTGAGCCAAATCGCCATTTGATGCGCCCTGTAATGACTCCTGGTTCGGACTTTATTGGCAGAAATTTCTAAATATCTCTGATGAAGGCGATCGTGTCCTTCCCACGGCGTGTTTTTGTAACGATTCCTCTCTTTCGACACGGGCCAAATGAAATCACCCTTGAGTGGTTCGTTCGGGTCGCTGTAAGCAGAAAATGCCATGGACATACATACATTAACGGATTAACATTTGCTTAAAAGTTATATAACTGGTTGGACAGACTGTCTGTCCCAGCGCGACGGGGGGTAGTTGTGTCGTGTAATGAAAATCTTACCCAGAGTGAGCAAAATTCGAGAGGAATGTGATGAAAAGTTCGGACAGGGCTGTAATACGGACACATTTTTTTTTAATTAATTAGTTACATTAGGTTTTATTAGTCATCATTTAAAAATTATTGAATCGTACCCATTTCCGTTTTCGTATAATTACTCGGTATCGGAGGTGGGACGAAGGGGAGTAGTTGGCCAGTTAGCAATTCCACAAGTGGAGTTCCAAACATGTAGCTTAATTCTTCTCCTCCAACGCCACCGGTTCGCTGTGAAATTTATAATTCGTGGTGGTAAATATTAAATCTGAAGGAAATTTAAAACCTGAAATAACGTGTAAAAGTCTAAAGCCTCTGGAATTTCTCCATTCACAAGGATTTTAACCAATTCTTTCTTATGGCAAAAAAGGACTGAATTATTCAATATCATCACATTTGTGGTCAGCCGTCCATACAAAAAGGGAACGTGCATATATTACGTTATCAAAAAGGTGGGTGGGATGTTTTAGGTCGCTTATCTTAGGTCGCCATGGCGTGGCGCCAAACTTCAAAATTTGCATTTTCGACCAAGTTCAAACCCCCATAACTTTTGCAGTTTATGTCGGATTTTCAAAATTTTATGCTTAAAATGATCACAAAAGTCGAAAGTTTTGAGAAAAAAATAAAAATAAAAAATTTCTAATTTTTGCAATATTTTTAGGATTTTTTCAACGAACCCCCATTTATAAAAAAATTACGAAATTTTGCGAAAAGTTAAAAGTGATAATTTTGGAAAAAATTTCATTGGATACGAAAGTTGAACTCCTTGTCATGATTTTTGCCAAAAATTTTGAAAATCCGTCCAGGTTTTCAAAAGTTATGGCTGTTTCAAAAATAAAAACATGCAAATTTGGCGAATTTGGCGCCACGCCATGGCGCCAAATATGAGTTTTACACGGAAATATGAATGAATCCTTCATCTAGGGTCCTAGTAGATTCTAAAAAACATAATGGGTACCCTGGGCTCAAACGACAGGTCGTGAGTGTCCCTTGTTAGTCGTGCTAAGCTTAATATGTAAAATAGGGTGGGAATGGGTGGGTGGGTGGTGTAAAAATCGCCGTTCTTTTGATGCCGTAATATATGGCTGTTCCCAAATTGGGTTCTCTCTCTTTTCCTACCGCTTTCACTTTTCACGTCATCGTCGTGCCGGCTCACTGAGCATTTACGGTTTACTTCCGTACTGCTTTTCCCTTGGTGTACTTGCACACGAGTGAATGTCATGTTCAACCTTTTCCCATTGTATACGTACATACCTCTGAAATTTCAGCATTTAGCGAGGAAAAACCATCAAACAGAATAAACAGAGAATAAAGTGCTTTCATGTTGGATAAATCAACCCAAATTGTGAGCAGTTTGTATCGTCTCTGGCTTGGGCTTTTCATCGGTTGGTGAAAGGTTTTAGGAACGAGGAGGTGCTCCAAAATTAACAACACAATCCGATTACTTACTTACATACACGTAACCACATTGACTTTTCACAAAAAACCACTTCAAACGTATTATCCCACATTATTCTTGTGTAAGTATGTCAACAAAAAATTAACCACGCTTCATCCTCACCTGCCCTTGGGAACTAAAATAGTTGTAAAGGCCGTCTTTCGTAGCGTGTTCGAAAACATAGAAAAATCCGCGATTCACTTGACCCGATTCGGAGACTGCAATGCCAAAGTTAATTTAGATTAGGAGAGATATTGAATTATTAAGAATCTCATCATTACCTGCAATCACGGGAGCGAGTGCGAGACAATCCGTCACCGCACTTACAGTCAGGTCCCTCATGGCCACGGGATGCTGGGAAGATCTGTTTTGTGTTGGAAATTTTCACAAAAAATATATAATTACCAGTGGAAAGAAAGGCTGCCAAGTATAGCCAGCACTGAGAATGGAGATCTCCCAGCGTGTGCGGCCTGATTTTTAGCAAACTAGTGCCAATCAATGGTAAATTTAATTAGGATGAAATTTGCAAAAGGCACGATCTCCCAATGTGCAAATTTGGCAGAGGTATTTGCATCCGAAGAAAAGAGAACGCGTTCTAATGTTGAAAAATTTTACACTTTCTAAAGTTATTGGGCGATTTCTCCTCAAACCGGAGCATTGGCAGATCGTGCCTTTTGAAAATTTCATACTAATTAAATTTGTCACGATTGACACTAATTTGGCCAAAATCTTAGAGCATACGCTGTGAGACCTCCACTGTGAGTCGACCCAGCCACAAAGTCACGTAAGTAACAAAGTCATCTCATTACAGGGCATGACCATCATCACGGAGAAAGTAGAAAGAAAAGGTGGGAATGTAGCACTCACTTTTCCCAATCCGTATATTCGTTAGAAATCGTGGCCAGAATTTCGTTTAGGTGAAACCGGTACGAGTTTCGAATCAGCGTTCGAAGAATGGCGTCGCGCCTCCCGCCTTCGAATCCAGATTGCAGATCGGTCTACATACACATTCACACCAAAAAGTCAGCCCGTAATCATGTCAATTAAGTTCTCAAGGGTTTCCTTGTAATCAAAGTCAAACACACACGAGGAGAGAAAGTGGGAGGTGCTGGCGAGCGCAGTTTGTTTGAAAGGAATCTCTACATTTCCATTACACGTGTCAATTTGGGAGAAAGTCGCTCGCCGTAGTCGGGCTCAAAGACCACAAAGAAATTAACAAGTTGACTCTTTCAATCACTGAAATTAACCACACCTCGTTAACCTTAATGAATCCGGCATGATATTTCGTATTATAATTAGGAGGAAACTTACAAAATGAGGCTTAAGTATATGTCACAAAAGCTAACTAGAACTAGAAATTTTAAACTTCTCTCTGACTTAAGGCATTCAAAACCAGTTTTTCCGATTTTGTAAAACAAGTTAAAAATCGGATTTTATGAAAATTTCAAAAACCAGAAAAATCTAAAACCTGTTTTATAAAATTTTTCCAAAATCGGAAAAATCGAACACCACTTCTTCAAATCGTCCAGTTTTGGATGCTCCGAGTCTCACTCGCTCTTACTTATTATTTGTCAACTCTGTCTTAAAATTCAATTCGTTTTCATTTCTTTGTTTTCTTTCATTTTTAAACGACAACTCTTATAAATTCTATTACACAAATTTATTTCCTTTCCTTCTGATACACCCAAGCACTCCATTTTTATGTCTGGAAGGAACATGAAACTCGATTAGAATTCAGCATACCTCACTAAATGCGGTCATCTTCTCGAGGGAAGAGAGTCCAAAGAGCACATCGTATTTCTTGGCCACGTCCCTTTTCCCCATTTGGGACTCGGAGCTGGCCTGCAGTAAAACAAAAGAGGAGGAAAGAAAGAAAGATCAGTATGCTGGCCCAGTGCGGATGCCAGAATTCATTTCCTCGCCGACATGGAGAACACAAGAAGGGAAAAAAAGGACAACAAGTTTTTTCATTAATCACTCTTTCTCTTTCTCCGTCAGTCAAGTCGCTTCTGATTATCCGTTCCCTTTCTCTCCTCTTTTCTCCCCAAGAAGACACTATAGTTCAACTCCCATCTGACAACGGCCACCAAAGTCAACCAACCAACCAACCAGCCACGGAATAAGCTTTGGGAGGATCAAGAAAGCAAAACTTTCTCCGAGGCAAACTTAGCAAACACATAAAAATTAATGTGCCCCCTAACAAGGACTTATCAGAATTTATGGGAAATTATCAAATCACACATATCCCCTCAAAAAAAATATTTTATATGTGGAGCAGAAGGACTGGGGAATTATTAAAAATCGTGTAAATAAATCACATACCCTGAAATTTGGCTTGATCACAACCCCGTCAATGCTTGGACCAAAATCCACGCCAAACTTTGGAGGTGAAAATCCCACAAATTCGGAAAAGTGTTTGTTCTTGACGCATTCAAAGATGGGGTCTTCCTTGAATTGTTTCGAGTCTCCGCGGGAGGAGGGTTGATAGGCAGGTGTGGGGACAGGTGGGGAAGGGTTTCCGGTGGCATTTTTTGAAGGGATGGAGCAATTAAGGGCTTGTGCCAAGGCGGCGGCTGAGGCGGAAGGGTCGGACACGAGAGCCCTGTTAAGTAATATTTAATTAACGGAGGATTCGATGATTCATCGATAAATCGTCAAAGTTAGGACATTTTTAACAATCGTTTCTCGGCTCTGGGAATTTATTTTAAAAGTTATGAACGGCAAATTTGTATTCAGTAAGCTGATTTTTTAGTAATGGAATCGGGGTGAGTTTCTCAAGCCAGTTTCGATGAGTTCCAATTGTTCTGAAGGCTGATTAAACTTGAAATCTTTTCCTTCAAAATCTGGAGTGTATATTTTTTGCAAATGGCAACGACCCGTATAAATTTGTCGTTTCAGAATTTTGAAATACATTTCCAGAGATGGGAGATGATTAAAAATGCGTTAATTTTGACTTTTTTGGCGATGAGTCCTACGTTAAGCATATATGCATATAGTCCTTATGCATATAAATATATATGTAGTTGACCAAATTCTTACCACGGGGCATGGGCCGATCCCGCGATCAACACAGATCGGTGAAACAAGCCTGGAAGGAGAAAGTCGAGAGAAAAGAAGATAAGAAATTCAATTAAATCGTAACGAGATTAAAACTATCATTCCTTTTGGATTTATATCACTCCGAATGAATGAGTCGAATTGATGTAGACGCAAAATTAACCCATATTTTCTCCGTTCCTCACCTGGGGTTACGGCCGGTGACGCCATCAAATAATGGATGCAAGCAGCCCCGGCTTCATACCCGATTAACGTTATATTTTCAGGATCTCCACCGAATTTGAGGATATTCTCCTTAATCCAGTGCAGCGCTGCGATTTGGTCCATCAGCCCGTAATTGGCGACTCTTGGTTTGCCATTTGGGATGGCGTGGACGTTAAGAAAACCTGTGAATTATTATTATTATTGGTACCAATCATTTAGGGACAAGGTCGACCAAATTATTAATCTAGGATGACTCGATGACTCAACACCAAAATTATGCAACACATTTTTATCATTTCTTAGATCTGGAAACTTATTTTAAAAATCTGGTCGACAAATTTGTAAAGCAGAGAGTTTCCAATTAAAAAATATAAACTCCAGATTTTGACAACAAATTTGTAGTCAGTAAAGTGATTAAAACAATGACGGTGAGGCTTGTAAGTCAATTTCGATGAATTACAATCTTTCTGAAGGCGTCTTAAAGTTGAGATCTCTTCCTTCAAAAAGTGCTAAAATCTGGAGTGTATATATTATTTTTTTAAATTGGCGACGACCTGCTCTACAAATTGTCCGTCCATAATTTTAAAATAAATTCCCAGAGGCGAAAAAAATAATTAAGAATGTGCTGATTTTGGCGATGAATCATCGGGTTCTACATTAAGTTAATTATCTCTCATATGAAACCCACCCAGTACGTTGAGCCGATAGTTGAGTGAGACAAAAATCACATCGCCATATGCAGCCAGAATCGTTCCATCCGACAAGTTGCCACTTCCCCAGGAAAACTTTCCTCCGTGAATGTACACTAAAACGGGTCTCACTTTGGGTTCTGGGCCTGAAACAAGTAAAAGAGACAAAAAATGGGTAACACACACATTTCAATTTGGTTTCTCCCTCAAAGATCAAGCAGAAGCAAGGAGGACCAACAAGAAGTAAGTGCTGCAGAGTTGAAGGTTAGTTAAATTACATGGCTTGTAATCCAATAATATCTTTCTTCGATTCTGGAAGCTCTCTTCTTTTTCGTCTTCTCTTTCTCTTCTTCGTACAGTGGCCGCGGAAGCTGTGGGGGCATGTGGGGACATTGGCACTGTTGGATAGGGGACGGAGGGGTTTATATAAGCAGATGATGGGGAATTGCGGTAGGGACAGAGGGACGATGTCCCCGGGCTTCCGCGGCCACTGTACTCAGTCGAATCATACCAGGCTAAAAACTATAATAATTTTATAGAGAAACATCCACTAAATTGTCGATTTTTCGTTATTGTAACTCCGTTTTAGTAATATTACAAAAAATACAATTTTATACAACAAATTAGATCCTGTAGTTCTGTCGGAAAAAAATATATAAATGTGATTTTTTTCTAGTCATATCATATCTGTTCAGCCCTAACTTTCTCCACTACGACCGAAACGAGGAGAGCAGTAGTAACATTGCCCTAATTTAAGCCCAATTTTAGACATTATTCGATTCAAGCGACTTATCTCTGGCTGCTCTTTCTCTATCTCTCCATTCTCCACACTCCACACTTTGCGCTGGCCAAAGTACGTACGTAACCATCCCATGAAAGCGGACTTTGGGAGGATCCTCCTTTTTGGAGAGAGTGGGAGAAAGTGAGAGAGAAAGAGAGACGATGAGAATTTACTGTTAACGACAACACGCCGGAGTAATACCGTTAATTTAAATGGAAGGACCTTTCCCCTTCTCCACTTTAATTGTTCTAATGTCCAATTGTTCTGGGGATTTTACTCGTGTGACAATTACTTTCCAGACCAGGGCAGAATAGCAGAAGTTACTCGAATGGATGGGGCAATTAGTGTAAATTATCCATCCGTATACGTATTATTATTGGTATTATAGGGAAACTTCGGTCGAGTCCATACTTTTCGGACAAAGGGGAACACGAGAGAGGAACGTTCGTTTAGTTTATCACCTTGCCAAACGAGGAATTGTTTTACACTTTGTGATTGTACGTGTGGGTGATCAGCCTGGTAACAAGTATGTGATAGGGTCAGTTGGGTAATAAGTTTTTGGTCATTTTGCTGTACTGCTGCTACCAAAAGAATATACGAATATACGGAAAATGCATAAGTGAAATATTCGAGTAGTTTGTTTTAGTTTCTGGGGGGTTTGCTATATTTGTTTCACTGCAAAACAAGAAATATGAGGTGCAAGAAACTGCCAAAAATATGCGCCATCTAGCGTATAAACTATCGTTTCAGGAAATCTTTCCTTTAGCCTTGCATTTCGTACAGGTCAAAATACCCACAGGAAACCACTTTTTGTCGTTATTTCTTGCAACTGACTACTTGCATCAGAAACGCTGAAAATACGTATCTCTTAAAATTTCGTTGTTCAAACATGTACAAAATTTCCAAAAAAATTTAGCCCCAAAAATTTGAACTTTTTCTAATACAATGTTTCCCATCCCAAAGTAAAGGCACCAGCGAAACTTACCACGACTCGACAATAATCAACCGTCACGTGTGTCTGACATTAATCCTGAATCATTTACCACCAACGCCACAAAAACATGTTTATTTCCTTTGTCTCCTACTCATTTACTCCTTTCCTCGCATTACTGAACCATTTTCTTAAGCTGACTCAGCCAATAAAACAAAGAATTCATTTTGCAACAGGAAATTTCCTCGGAAAACAATCTTCTTCTCCTTCCCTCTCGCCCGGTTTAACGACACAATTAAAAGAATATATCCCAACAACATGTCCTATACGACACGACGCTAAGGAAGAGTATGTACCATCTTTGCAATGCTAGATCTTGATGCCCATTGGATGCACATGTTGTGGAACTACGTGTGGGTAGAACAATTGAAGGAGGGTTATGGTCCATGGGACTAATATGCCCACCACACCCTCTCCAAAGAGGCGCCCAGACTAGCCGCACCTTCGCAAAAAAACCCAACTTGAATTTTCCAAAATTTTGCACACATGCAATTTTGCATTCAATTTTGCACATTATTTCTTTACCATATTCAATCGCATCTCGTCTTATTTGGAATATTCAATATTTTTGAAATTTTCGTACAAGAAATGACCAGAATAATAACGAACTATCTGTCTCGCCTAATAAAGCATATTATTATGGAGTCTAGAATATGCAAAAATTATGAAAATCTAAGTAAACTTGGATTTTTTGGCGAAAGTTTTAGTGCTATTTTTCTACCTCACATACATAATTCTACTCATATCCAAAGGGCATCAAAATCCGGCCTTGACAAGATCGTACGTACTCCTCCTTAGAGAACGAGTCACCCACTAACTTTTGCCACATCGTCAATAATATGTGTCTCCCGCTGTATGTATAACATTTGTCGGAATTTGGGGAAAGTAAACTCCTCTGCTGCGTATGTATAATAATGTCACGCTTGCACAACCCCTCCCTTTTAAATGCCTGTGTAGCAAATCTTATTATTCGTCCTTTTCCTACATACCCACCACCCGTGAGTCTCGTGTCATATAATGTTTACATTTATTGTGAGAAAGTGGCTCGTATGACCTCTCCAAGCTCCTTCGACTGCTTTCCCCTTTCATCCCGCTGTTGACTCGAGTAAAACTCCAAATTACATTCTAAACGGGGCTGCTTTCACTTCACAGCCAGCTAATCTTGACGAGTTTAAGGAGAAGAAGGAAGGAAACGAGGAGAGAATGCAGTTTTGTTTACAGCTCCTCGCGACGCGTCGACGACGACGTCGACGACACATATGAACCCCGACGACAAAATAAAGAGAGAGAAAGCGAGAGAGAAAGCTGACTAGCACCTTATTTCATTCCATTCTTCTCCTTCTTTCATCCATATCACTGCGTCTTCTGTCATTAACTCATTTCACAAGAGGACGACAACACGAATACAATAAAGCAAACAACACAGAGCGTTTTTTCTTCTTTCCTGACCAGTCTCGGAAATGGATCCGCGTTCATTTCGCAAGGAGGAAGGACGTATCAAAATGCGGACGCTGTTTCTTCTTCCTCGACGAAATAACAGTCATCCATCCATCCCTCAAGACCTGAACCTTTCTCTGTTCCGTCCTTTGACACAAATTGCTTTTCAAGAGCGGACTGACTTTCTCTTCCAATCTTGCATCCGACATTTGATTCCCAAGAAATTGATTGATCTTTCAAAATTATTTGCCAACTTAATCCCAGACTGGGCTGGACTCGAGTGGACAACCAACAAACTCAGGGGCAGAGAAAGGCTCTCTCTCTTTGATCAACTACTTGCACAGTCGCTGCGGGAGGGGGACAAGGGAAACCTCGACACACAGGTTTCAATCACGGGCAAGAAATATGTAATCTGTCCCGAACAAACGGGAAAGACAGACTTGTTTAAAATGTTGGTGAACTAAATGAGCAAAATGGGTGACACTCTAAATAATCTGGGAGGAAAAAATTATCAGATGGATATGCAGCTCTAACTTGCTTGGGACCGATTGTTACTGAAATGTACTTTCAATAATTTTTTGACAAAATTGTTACCGGCAGAGACTATGCAATTCTACTGCGTGGTAACACTATAGTAACAAATTGTCTTCTTAGGGTAAGAAATTGCCTCCGGTGTCGGTAATATTTTTATTACCTGAGCGTTGACATTGGGGGCTGGGCAGGGGGATTTAGCCTCTGTATATATGTTACCCTTAGGTGATAAATTGTTACCCGAGTGGTAGAATTGCATAGTACCTCCGCTGGTAACAATATCATCAAGAAATTATTGAGAGTGGAACAATATTTTTTTACATATTGGAGTAAATATACTCTTCGGATAAATTGTTATACCGTTCGGTAAAAATTTCACTCTTAGAAAACTAGTATAAATCGTTACTGGCCGGAGTCACCGGCACTAGTGATAACGGGCACTACCGTTTAGCGTTGTGGTAATGAAAAATTTACCACTCAGAAACAAACTATTACCAATCCGGTAAGAAGTTATTACCAAATCAATACCAGTACGGAGGGTATATCTGACTCTACCAGATTTTTAACAGTGTATGTGTAACACCATGAAGCCGCCGTTGATCTGGTTTTGGCCATCACAACTTTCGAGTGCACACAGCATTTCTGAAGAGGGTTGATCATCTCAAAAGGATAATATTATTGGTGTGAAAATGACGTCGGGATATTTTATTATTTTCTAAACTTTGCACATTAAAATTTCCATTTATTAATTGAATTGAATTGAATTAAATTTGAAATCCCCTTTTCCACTCGAACCGAAGCATGGGGAAATCCTCTTTTAAATCCGGATTTCTTTTTTTTAAGGGGAAGCAGGCAGCGGGGAGATGGATGGAATTGGATGAAGTGCGGCTGTTACATGCTCCTCTAGGTTTAGTTTAGTTTTGGAGGAGGGAGCGTGATTTAGGAAAGTCTTTGAAGATGGATCACTCCCAATATTTCTAACCGGATCCCACCCGGAGCTAAGCTGGCCGAAAAAGATTTACCTGACTGGAAATGGATTGTTCTTTTCGGGTGGGATTGATCGCCACCAAAATTACCTGCTGGGCTGAGCACGGAAAAGGACGCATCAGTTATCAGTCCACTAGGATGCATCGAGTTGTTTGTAAATCAAAGTGAGTGTGTAAGATGTATGTACGAAAGAAAAAAGCAAGTATTGCGTAACAAAGCTAATTTTAAGGCTCGATTAAATCCGGAACAGGCAAATTTGTCTCGTTTTGCACGTCCTAAGGTACGCTGCTAAAAACTTGGTAAAGGAAGATTTATACGACATACTGGTATTGATTTGGTAATAATTTCCTACCGGATTGGTAGTAGTTTGTTTCTGAGGGGTAAATTTTTCATTACTACGACATGCCCATTATTACCGT